GGAAAATAGTTTTATTAATATTTTGACGTTTTATATATATATATAGAATGACTCTTTCATATCACTTTAATCTCGATGCTTCTCATCGTGGTTCAGAGTGAAATCGAGCGAGGATGAGAATGAAATCTCAAATATGAGGAATTTTGTCCTGGTGAAAATTTCGCTTTTTGGGGGGACCACTGCGCGTGCCAGAAATTGAGATCAGGCAGCGGCAAACACATTTCCAATGATATTAAAGATAAAACACGAGGCGCGATACGAAACGTTGAACACCGGCGAAATTTCGCGGCGTTCTTTGCGAATGACCCGCGCGATGCCATCCATTTTGATTCCGACCAAATTTCGCGGCCCTGGCCGCACTTGATATTCCGGCCACGCCCGCGGCAGAAAGCTCGAGTTCGTGTATGCTTTATCATCACCATTGCAGTTCAATAAGGTGAGCAGAGACACGGGGGATAAGGAAGAGTAAGGGGAAAAATCGTTGGCGCGTCGTCTTGCCGGGAAAGGAGGGAAACCGGTGACCGAGAGAATTCCCCAAACAGTATTCAAACCGCAACCCGGTTAAAATTCCCTAGCGCTGAACGATGACGTTTTCCTGCAACCAGGATTTTCTGCAACGAGTTTCCTGCGGAAATCGTAGGGCGATACGACCAAGTTGCAATCGCAATCCGCGATCTGGATACGATCTTTCGAAAATCCTGGCAAATTAGTCGTCCATTTTGGGGAAAACGTTTTATTCGCGAATATAAAGTACTCGATAGATTGATCTTGGAGTCATTGGTAACGGTGATGGACAATGGCGATACATCCCATCGGGATTTATTGTATAGCTGATAGCGGTTGTGGAAGCGTTCTAGAAATGGCGGCTTGATAATAGGGATTTTCATGCTTAGATCGATTTTTTTTGGGGGGTGGATGCAACGAAGATGCGGCTGTAAATTGCAGAAAATAATGAATATTAAGATGGATGCATGCGGCGATTTGGATACCGTGCAGTTAAATCGAGTTCTTCTCTGGCGTCCATGCGTTGAGTAAATTGCACGGATTTATTGTTGGATTACGATCGGCCGTCAAGTTACTTCGCAGGGTGATTTTCTGGCCGTTTCCTTATCGATTCGTTGAAGGTTCGACTTGTTTCGCTGATGCTTTTCGACCTCAGAAAAAGGCGCCGACCGTTCGGGCTAGGAAGAGCGACTGTGCGACTCGACGGCGCTAAAGAGGAAACCAGATGGGCTCGTAAATAAGGAAGTAATTAAAGAGATAATTGTGCACAAACAGAGGTAACCCCGCTCTCACTAATGGAAATTCCTTCCGACTGCAAAGTAGGTAGAGAGAGAGGAGTTGAAACGCGTTACTGCAGTCCGGCAGCTCACCTTCTAATTCGACCCGGGCCACGACCGCAGACCGACACCGGACCGACACCCAACCGACGTGGACCGACACCGACCGACCCTTTGTAATCTTGCCTGTACACATTTTTACAAAGGACCCCGACTTTCCCTTACACAGTGACGAACGAAACGGAACTCGGCCGATCGAGGGTGGAAAGTGGAAAGCAAAATTTCGCCAGACCGGAAAATGAGAGTTTCGATACGATAAATTCGTCCGATGCAACGATGACATCTCCCCTTCCTTCGGTTTGGAAGAACGTGGAAAGGTTATTACTTCGGCAATAAGGAATTTAATTAGAAACGGACGGCTGGAGTCCTGTCTAAATGGAGGAGGGTTGACCGTATTGTGCCGGCTTTATATGGCACAAAGGAAAACCTAATATCCTTGAAATGGTTTGCGGTAAAGGCTCCTTTTCCGTTCAAAAATGACTTTCCATCCCGGCCGACGGAATCCTTCGCTCCCAGAGTTTTTATTTATTGAAATTCCGCGCCTTTCCCCGACTTGGAGGAACGTCGGGCTATTACCTTGCGAAAGGGCGAGCGTAATTAGAAACGGAATTTACCTTGCATAAAAAAAGCGAGCCCTCGTCGTGTGACTTTTAGCTGAGAAGGGAGGCGCGCCTAGATTTTTGTTTTGTTCCCTAACGCGGCGTTAAATCAAGAATTCACTCCTGTTTTAAATTAATTTTAACTTCGCGAATTGGATTCCTTCGCTCTTGGAGGCTTCCGATTTTTTGCGGAACCGGGAAAAACCGGACATAAAATCGGAGAACTCGAAGGGCGTGCGAGAAATTTTTGAGCAGATTTGTCGAGTAAACCGATCGAACGAACCTTTGGTTCCATTTGTGTACGTTCATTGTGAACAGAGGTAACTACTCTTCTTCGGGGTGATCCGTGAATGATAATCATTTAATCGAAGTACGACTTCCACGGGCTATTTTCCCCGAAAATGCTCGAAAGGGTGGAAAGTCCTTAATTGCTCCGAATTCGTAATTGATAGATACGCGAATGGTACGAAGCGCGCGTTAGCTGCATGAGTTGAAAGTATGCAGAATATGTTAATTCAATCTGCAGATATAGGATCACGAGAGAAAGCGCGAGGTAATCGTCGAAACGATGCCAGAAGCAAAGGGGATCCGTGCGTGAAATTCTCTCGGAAAGCTCCGAGGTAACGTTCCAAATTTTAACTACAATAAATTAATGAACGTCGACGTGGATTATAGTCGGGCGGTAAACGTTTCGTGGTTTATGGATGATTTATTGAAGTTCGCTGTATCGCCCGCTTATGCCGAGGGAGTTAAATAAAATGAATTAATCGAGATCGGTATAAATATGGACGAGCCGATCAGTCGGTCTAGAGAAAGCGATTTATGCATCGAATCTTTGCATCCTTATTTACCAGCGCCTATAATCGTACTCGGCATCCCGACTAGCATCGACTTATCGATTATTACCCAACGAAGCTGCCAGTCGGTCGGTAATCATTCGTCATTAAAGTAACACGTGGAGAGAGCTTAATTAACGGCATACATCGCGATAATTGAATTTTAAAGGCAAATTTAAATACTGTTGCGATATGGGAAACAATGGCAGAAAATTCAATGCGGAATGGAAATGATTTTATTACGTCACGAGGGCGAATGGATTTAATACAGCATCCGATATTGTAGAAATTTTTGATGCGACGTTAACGATCTCCATTAATGATTACAGTCCTGGGCAGAATTTTTTGAGCCAGGTATTCCCGAGTTTATTAACTCTGGGTCGTCGCATGTATCTTTGTCGTTGCAATATCGGGCTCGATTATTTAATCGCGAAAAATCCTCTCGCCACTCGGGTTCAATATTTGATACGTCGAGGCAGAATTTGCAGTGGCACAAAGTATAATCAGTAGGGCACATTGGAATTAATGATGCCGCCGTTCGTCCCTCATCAGCTGCGCTTTACGTGTCGCGGAGTTTGACCATAACAAATCTATCGACGATCGCCAACCGTGGAACGAGGGACCCGCGAAAAGTTTGCATTAATAAACCCAACCCGCACGGCCTGCCGATTTCTAATTCGAGAACCCATTTTCAGAACCGGCGTAATCCAAGGATTTTATTTCCGCGTTCGTTTCCCCGTGCTGGTAATGGAATTAGTAGTGTAATCGCGAGGGCATCGATTCGCTATGGGTCCGAGTACGGGGTCGAACCTTTCGTGGAATTGCACGATCAAGTCGAACCCGATCGGTTGGTTTTCAATCGGCGAGCTCGCATTGGCGATTCGCACAACCCCGGGACTTCACTCCCCTCGTGAATCGCGGAGTTTCGTAATGGCCATCGCCGCGAATGAAAATTTCGAGGATTCCTGCAGATGAATTATTACCCAAAGAGTGTGGGAAGCAAAGCAAACGGAGCGATAATCATTCCACGGTGAACCATCTGTCTTCGCCGAATGTCCGCCGAATGCGCATCACGAGCTTTCCATTTTCCGCCCTTGGGAATAATGCCGCGGCAGGCATATCCTAAAACCGATAACAAGCCTTTGCTTGGTTACATACATGGTACGCGAGTTCGCCTCGAAATTAGCGGTCCTGCGATATGTTCCACCGTTGGGTAGAAAATCGCCATTTCGCTTCAAAGGATCCTCTCGAGCACCAATATTTTTTTTTCCCGCAACGATCTCGATATGAAAATTAATTACCACAATTTGATTCGTCGGAAATAAGTTCTGTAAACCCCAGATCTTTCGAAATTGGGTGTTGTCAGGAAATCCAGAAAATTGAGTCCTTGAAATGCCACAAAATTTGCGGTCTTGCGATTTGTTCCACCGATGGGTAAAAAATCGCCGTTTTGCTTCGAAGGACCCTCTCGAGCACCAATATTTTTCTCTCGCAAGGATCTTCATGTGAAAATTAATTACCACAATTTGGTCAGTCGGAAATAAATTCTTGAAATCCCAGATCCTTCAGAATCGGTCGTTGTTAAGAAATCCGCGGTGAAAATAAAAGATTGGTCCTCCGGTGATTGGATTCCCGCTAAAAATTCCCTCCCCGCGATATCGATTTACAGGTGATTTATTGCGTTCCACGTAATTGAGCGTCGTTGCGCTGCAGAGCCATAGTCCCGTAAGCAATACATTAGGAGAAATCAAGAGTACGGTTATTTAACTATTGAAAGACCTCCCGATTTAACAGCTCATCGTTGCCTCTAATGCAGTGAATTGATTTGCTTTATGGCCAGTGAACCAAATACGTTATATCATACAAATTATCGTTCACTTTATAGACGGTAGAGAGGTATTATGTACCCAAAAACCGTTTCGATCGTTTAAAACATGTTTGTTTCCGCTATTACGGAGACCATGTTGAACTCATCGATTTTACACCAGGTGGTCCCATTAACATTCGCGATCCTGTATAAGCTCATTCGATTGGAACCAAAATTCTCACTAATTTCGCTCCCCCTGTCACGCGCTAATTCGATTACGCGGATTTTTCGAGTACACTCGTAATTATTTTATAACTCGTCTCGCAGTCGAATTAGGTTTGACATACGTGTCTAGTGACCCGACCAAAATACTTTTATGGCGTATCAAAAATTAAGATGGCTCATTATTTTGTTACAGGTAGCACCGCTGAAGTCTTATCTGGGACGATATTCCTTCTTGCGGCGGAAGTCTTGACGCTGAGTGTGGTGTATCAATTTTATAATTAGGTGAGCTTATTTTAGTATAGAATAAAAAATTTTCTGGCTAGGGAAGAATTCTTTTAGCCTCATTAAAAATTTTTCTTGCCATTTTTATAGGACCTCTGAAGGAGTCAAACAACACCGGACATGATATGGACCACGTTTGCACCGAGGATACGAGCTATCATGTGTACACACCTGTATATACGTACCTCCGCATGTGAGCGAGTACGACAGTCGTTAATGTACCTATTTAGTAATTCGAAATTGTACGTAGCAAAGAAATCGGAAGGTATTTCGGAGTTCCTTCGGACGATTGTCGTAAATCAATTGCAGTTCGAATTATCGAGGTCGCATCAATTTTGTGGTGCACGACGTGTAAATTATCCACTAATTTGACTTAAGGATATCCAAAGATAGTCGATCCAGTCGAGAAATTCTAACTAGGTTAATGTATAGCGACGTGATGTTTTCCCAAACCTGTTATCAATTTTGAGGGTACCGCAATCTCGTGGTATAATTTATAAAAGTACACCAAAGGTAGAAATATGCCTTCACTATTGAGTACTCCGTCGATTTGTCATCACGGAAAAAGGGAGAATCGAAGGTAAATTGCGTTGCATTTTTTAATTTATATACATTGTTAAGAGTTTTCAATTACCACCACACTATTTCGCAGTGCACACATGTCACCAATAATTTGTTGATTTAAAAATGCGCTGCGTGCACGTGCCGAAGTCTGCGGTTTCATCTTGGGAGCAACATTTTTGTACAATACGCAATGCATACAAGTGGTTTTATTCTCACCTCCGATTTTCGAGAAATTGACAAGGTGAAACATACAGGTATTTTCAGCCAGGGTGATTTTTGGACTCAGCTCACGTATGAAAAGTTTCCGAAAATCGTCGTACGATGGGAGTTACCAAAGCCGTGAAAATCAGCTTTCAGTTAAAGTTTGTTAACCGGTTTACCTCTTAAGGTCTAACATATACTAGTCGCATTGTTGGCATTGTTGCAACACGAAGGTAATATGTAGGCAATCAGGGAACAAAGCACCACAATCTGTTTGTCCGTTTCAGTCTTTGTCCAAGTTGGCGTCCATGGCTAGTCTATGGAAGTCCATAGAGCAGGTAATAATTAAACCCTAACCAAGAAGCAATAGCAATAGCCGACGGCATACCGACTAGTTTGCCTTTGACCTCCATATTTTATACATTTTCCGTACTTTTCCATTCCGAAATAGAGTTCCCAAGATTCAGCAATTAGCAGCTTTCCCTCTCTTGCACTGTGCGACTAGAAAAACCATAAAGCGAATTTCCTTCTACGTTTGTCAAGTAGTCATTCATAGAGAATCGGAAGGAAGTAATTATTTTTGTACGTGTACACAAGCGTCGTATCGTTAAAATAAGAAACGAAGACGGATTGGCGAAGACCTCTCGAAATCCATTGACTTCGATAAAATGCAACTGCATTTGGCACAGGTATGCACGTGCAAACTTCTAGGAGATATTGGCGAAGGGGTGGATATAATTTCAACGTTTGTGCCTAATTAGATTCCTTAATGCAGACCAGAGTCCTCTTGTAATGCAGAGTTACGTCAGTAACGTGCGGATAGTTGAGGGAATTGCTCCCAGGTGTGAAAGTGAGAATCTAACTACCACCTTGCCAGCATTTGGACTTGATAGTAATAATTTGCTAGTCGAATAGCTAATCACATGAACCACACCAAATATTTATTTAATCAAACCCAGTGTAGAGTGTAAGAGAATGATAACTCCGATCTGTACATATTATATATATATACGAGCGCGTCTACGACGGGCGAGATATCGATAATTCAATCGTTGTACAATACGTTGTTTTAATCGCGCAATCGATCGAGATGGAAAGTGAAAGATCTGTTATGTCACTACCGAGTCAAGATAATAAAAAATTCTATTTGTCCGATGTGTGTTTCACTTCCCCCCGTTTCCCGACTCCATCTTGAAACAATGTCTCTTATCACTTAGATTCGATTCTACACTTGCAGATTTAAAAAAGAACATTTGGTATTCCTCCCGCGGGCCATTTCGCCGTAGTCGGAAACTAGACGTGTACGAAGTGCTCGTTTAATTTTAAGCACGTCCCGTCTGCATAGTATATATCTGCGCACTTGATGATTACGTTTGAGATACAAGCCTTAGAATAATGCGCACCGAGGTATTCTTGAGACTCGGTATTTTCACTTTATGGCGAATCGTAAACCCAACACGCAGCCTTCCATTTAATCCCTAGAAATCGAAGCGAGGGCGATACATCCGTGTTGTATAGAGAGCACAAATCGGAGGCTGTATGTATCGACGAGAGCGATAAGCCGGCGTCTATATACCTTCGTCATGAATTGCCAATCAGAAAAATTATTTAACGAGCTCGGTAATAAGTGCAGCGTTGGCGATAGAATGGCGTCCTCTGCCGATGCACCGCTCGCGACTTGCAAAATCGTTTCCAACGAAGGAGCCCTCGCTGTTCCTTCATTATGTATGCAATTTGAGAGCTCCACAGTGAGTTAAACGAAGAGTCAGTAAATATGCAGGACCGCGATAAATTTAAACGAGCGTTTCATTCACCCATAAACCTGGTAGCTTCACCAATAGTCGCGGAACAAACGCATATGATATTCAGCCGCGACTGCACTCGGAATTGTCAGAATGCAGATCGATCTACGGTTAATATTTACTTGAATCGAATGCACCGGCTAATAAATTCCGACAAATAACGAGCTAATCAAATGCGCACACAGAGATTGAACGGTCGCCCCGAATTTGCTCTGCCTCCGGATTGTTTCTGCTATTTTTCGGGAAAAAAGAAAAAAGATTTACTTTCAACTTATTTCCATGTCCATTCATTTCCGCCTCAAAGCGTCGTAACGATGCGACTCGAAACTAGCCGTTCAATTGATCACCGCGTTCACGATTCCGTACAAATGGCCTTTCCGCGTTATCTACCTTGTCGAATCCGCTGTAAAAAACGTAAATTTCCATTGACCCGTTCCGATATGGCGAAGCTACCGGCCATAGAATTTTGAGCATTTCCCAAAGCCGCGGATTCGCAAGCCACGCGAAAAAAAAAAAAACGTTATCGGCCGCTGCCGATCAAGTTAAACGCAAAACGGAACGATGCAAATTCTGTAAATATTGCGCTACTAGACCGACTATCAAATGGACGAATGAAAAGATTTCCTCCTCGTGTTTACCGAATTTATCTCTCATAGTCGAGGTTTAGGGACGCGGGCGAGTAATCTTCCGCTTTGACGAGCACCTACACTTTCGGCATTTCTTAAGGGGGGTTCTTCTTTTCCCGAAAGCTTGTAGCTTGTTTTCGGGCAAGCACGCCGTGGTACGCGCGGGCTGTTTCTGCGAATATTAAAGCTATTGTCCCACCAACAACTTTGAAACCAGATTTACTCGGGAGCTTAATGCGCAAACTCGGGCATTTCGCGCAAGCTCCGGATGGCTTACGCCGGCGTTGTGCTTTCGTGAAAATAGTATCGGGCCGCTCCGTGCGACGAGTACACGTACTCGCTCGGGGTCCTCGCAGGATAATAGTGGAGTGGTGCGATAGTAGTGCTACCATAAGACGAAAGCGGGATAGTCGCAGGACCAACCTCGCAGTTCCTCGACAGACGTCGTCGACGAGCTCTTCTTGGAGCACGAAGTTAGACTCCGCTCTAGAAACCACTTTGCTGGCCAATATTCCTCAATTACCTCAAACTAGTTCTCGCCGAAGAGACGACATCAGGAAACAACCGCTTTCCGCAAACTGCCAAATTGAAAAAGAAACGCAAGGACCTCACTTTCCGAAACACCGTTTATTAAATCCAGTGCTCGAACCAGAATCAAGAGGAGACGTCAGAGTGGCTCTTGAATCCCTAAACTGTTATTAAATGCTGACTAAGAAATATTCCAAATTATTAATAATTAAGTCCGGAGTTCGGTCGTAATCAAGAGTACTCCATGTGCGACTCTAGGAGTCTTCAGTGATCCGAGAGTTGGAAAAATGCGGTCCCAGGACTATGGAAAGGAAAAGATCCTGGAAAAAGCTGGGGATTTCAGGTGCCTCCGGAACTAATGGCTAAGTCAACTTCTTGGTCGTACTCGAACGTGCTTCGGTGACAGAATTTAGAATTTAGCGGGCCTATCCTCGACTCGTATTTAAATCCAAGTCGATCCGTCAATCGCAATTATCAAGAGCGGAAAAAAAAATCTTAGTCAAGAATATGATTTTGTATTAACGTTGTTACATGATAGACTATAGTGGAATGGACTACTCATCAACGACGGAGCTGGATCTCGAGTAAGAGGAGGTACTGGAAAGGTGGCGGAAGAGTCGCAAGATAAGGGGTGGGAAGTGTTTAAGTTGCGGTGATTAGTCTCCATATGCTACGACATGAAGTCTCGGAAAATCCTCCGAGGCCTTAGCCGCGTTTAACGCGACTCGTTGCGATCTTGCGATCGAACGTCTGTAAACGTAACCACTTCCGGGGTGACGGAGGAATGTGCGGTTTAAGGTGACGCTCGCTTTAAGGGGTTTCGGAAGCACCCGTTAAAGCTCGATGAGTTATGGTGTCGATTTGCGAATGATGATTTAAGGCGAGAAAAGCTCGATTGGCGTCAAGGCGAGCACGATGGGTCTGCTCCATATATTCTTGGCGTGTGGATTACTGAGAGGTACGTATCGCCCGATATGATATCTCAAGACGTCGACCCCACCGAGACGTGAAATCGAATTCTCGTTAAATCGGCTCATTGTTCATTTAACCATCCAAGGTGCGATCGTTAGAACCGGCTTTCGCCCAGGGCGAAATTGAATTAGCCGGTAATTAAAACGAAGTTCTCTTGCCCCATCCAAAACTGAACTCAAAACGTGCCTTGGGCGCTGTCTTCTCCCGAAGATGTCTTATCCAAAAAAGAAGAGAATCGCCCTCGATCCTCGTCCGAGCGAGTCTGCAAACGTGCCAGACCGTTTTCCCCCTTTCTCGACTTAAACTCGATTTTCACCTTCGACTTCTTAGTCCCGAATCGAGATTTACGATGCACCTTGTCGGCAACTTAATCCTCCGATTTATCCGATCTCGAGATGAGCACCTACTCTGCATACCTTTGCCGAAGCCTCCACCCCTAACGACGTCGAATAATATCTCGCCATCTGAATTTTAAGATCTCTCCTCTGGATTCGAAATCCTGACCAGAAACGAGAGCAGGGATGACGGCTTCCGAATTATTGATTCCACTTCGACGGGCCTGAAAAATCCGACTATTTTGATGGCCAGGAATATACTCGTCAGGGTTTCGTTACGACTCGTGGAAAGCTGGTTTGCATTGCAAACATTCACCCCTGACATAACTATACCATTATGATACAGCACCCCCGCGAGTAATGTATTCATACTTTAAAAGCCTTTACGTTCCTTATGGAAATAGTGGAAGGGACGACATAAAGTACTCGTGAAATTAAAATTATGACCTAGTTTCGACAATGAAAATGCCCGCTCCTTGTTCGGATACATTGTGCCGCCTCTACAGTCGCGACAATGAAGTTATATGTTTTTTAAACGCGGCCGTGCTTTTTCGGGGGCATTGTTTGCACTTGACAATGGGGCCGTTTTCAAGAAGACGGTTTCCACGAGCCGATAAATACGTACCGTTTTCTGGCAAATCCTAGTCAGGTTGTCCAGTGACCCCTTGCTAAGTGTTTCTCGGAAGTTCGGATCGATCCGATAGGAAGTGCACGAAAAGTATTGGTAAACCAGAAAGTACTTAATTCTAGGACGTTAATGCAACCCCGTGTGCGCCGAGCGGATGACATTTTTCCTGATCGCCGTTACACGCTAAACCAATAAACATGACAACGATGTAATTGGAGGCGGATAAATTTAAGCTCCCAATCGAGCAATGAAAGCCGTTATTGCCCGAGGGCGCAGGAGATATTCGCCCCGAGAAAAATGCGGAAATCGACAATTACCCAGGGTAGAATGGAGCGCCTGTTTAATTTACCCGTGGGAGTAATGCAGTACGGCCAGATGTACGTACACCGCGTGTGCTCCTGCAGCCCGCTCGCTAAGTGCGGAATATCTGCGACACATTCCAGCGAAATCCACACCCTTCTCTCCGCTAATGTCTAATTCGAGTCGATGGGGTTTTCATTTTCGGCCACGAACGTGATCCCCTTTCGCGATTCGGCCCCCGAAGGTCCCAGCATTTGAATAACGCGTAAAAATTCCGCACGAGTGATCGAGTGGATTGAAACAAAAGCAAAGATGGTCCCTTTTTTTTTTTCAAAAATTTCCCGCCCGGAAAGAGCGACGCGGCCTTCAAAATGAAAATATTTGATCTCGCGACGTCGCTGCACCGGGAACTTTTTTATCATCCGCGGAAATTACGCGTTGCCGATGCGGAGTGAAATTCCAGAGTTCGTTGGACGAATTTTCGGCACTCGTATTCCTACCGGGACCTAGTTGTAGGTTCGAGTAACAAAGTATTTACCGTTTTCGCGGAAGTTCGGTCGTCCTCCTCTTTTTTACTTATTTCTATCTTTTTTTCCCCTGGATTTTCGGCGAAGAAGAGGCGGAGCGGTAATTTCCGTCGGTCTCGATCCCCGCCGGAGTCAGGAAAATATGCTGCGCCGTTCCCGAGTTAAAAGTACCTTAGAAAGTTGCGCGGAACACGGTCATTCCCGTTTCAATTGTCGGCGGGCCTCGTCCAATTTTTCTTCCGTCCGTCAAGTTTGCAAACTAAAAAACGGTCCAATGTGATGTGGCTCGTGTATGCACTAGGGACAAATAAGTTCCTGTCCCAACTTCCGAGAAGACACGAACATAGATCGATGGTAGCGGCATTAAACCGAGAAAAATGGAACGTCCTTTGAGACCGAAGCGGTTATGTCGGAACGGTTGCCGAATTTCACTTTGGGGCCGAAAACGGCCAACAAAACGATAAATTCTTCCTTAGTAAATGGCTTTTGTACGCGTCTTGAACGCAACGAGGAAAACCGGCATCTTGAAGTTTGTAAACCGTTTAGTCAAGTCTTATTACATCGCACTTGCTTCCAGAGTCGGTATGCCAGTCTGCTTTTCTTTGCGCTGTCCATTTAGTTTATTGCACTAATTACTTAAGAAACGGCAAGAAGCAGAAAAGGCTTTTTAAGGAGACGGTAAAGAATGAGAAAACGTCAGATGTAGAATGGTTTGTCTCACCGACGCGCTTTATTTTCCCCCGAGTAAGAACTTCTCGGCAGGATAATTTCATCTCATCTCTGGAATAAGTTGTGTTCTTCGTTAATTCCCGTGGATTAATCGGCCTAACCGGTTAAACGTACAAAAGGAAACGTACCAATTTAATTATCGTCCTCCAATACGTTTTCGGTAATTCTTTCCACGTGGAAAAAAAGAAAAAAAATTCCCCCCCACGGAAGCGCGTTGATATCGACCCTGCACCCCTTCCAATTTGCGAGGCTCATTTCCGTTGTTGTCGGATAAAGTTGTTAATTTTTTTCATTCGGTTTTATGGCCTAGAGAAAAAAACCTGAACGTTCTATAACAACGAGATGCCGCGGTTCGATATCCTTAATAACTCGCATCACGTTAGCGTTCGCTCTTTGGATAAAAGCTGGCATACATACTTCGAACGGGTCAATGGTCCCATTTTGATATCGTTTTAATAAATTTGTCGCCGCCGAGAAAAGGCGTGACGTACCTTTGTGTACAAAGTGACGAATTTCCGGACACGGCGTACTTTGTAAACGCAGCGGCGAAATTCATTACAAACGCGTAATTTGAATCAACGGAGCAGCTCGCTAAAGGCTTTATGCCATTCGTAGACAAGTAAGCGTTTAATTATTACGAGGACTGTAACAAAGTACAAGAAATATCCCCTGGTAACAACAAGACCACCGAGAATTATTCAGACGGCGGCTCGAGGCATTACGTCTCGCGGGTGCTTCGTTCTGTGCAGAAAATCGAGCTTTCCTCGTGGATATTGCTCGTTTCAGGGCTCTGACGAGCGTTTCCTCTTATTGCTCGCCATCAACCCATTAGGAAGTAATAGAAAAGCAAAACCTTTAACGGCGACTTTCTTGGAACGATGCCTCCGAGCGGTCTTTTTTTCGGGGCAATTCCCTAGTCGAGCGATAACTGCAAAAACCTACGGGAAGTTTGTCTTATTTTCTCGCCGAAATCGACTGGAACCGAGAAAGTGGATCGACTTAAAGGGGCGCGTTCGCTGCTGGGGTTAAACGAAAAATCCTCCCCCGAGTAATTCGAGGCCGTTAAGCCCGAAACACTTTGACCCACCCTTCCGGCGAATCACCCGAAGTCGCCACGAATCGGCCTTCGATTTCATCCCTTATTCGCGGGCGAAGGCGAGGCGCGTCAGCGGAGACGATTTTCACCCCTTTCGATGACTTCCAGTGAAGGTTGTTTCCAAACGTGATCGAAACTCGACGTCTCCCCGTAGCCGGGGACTTGGTCGCGGTCGAATCGGCCTTCGATTTCATCCCTTATTCGCGGGCGAAGGCGAGGCGCGTCACCGGAGACGATTTTCACCCCTTTCGATGACTTCCAGTGAAGGTTGTTTCCAAACGTGATCGAAAGTCGACGTCTTCCCCGTAGCCGGGGACTTGGTCGCGGTCGTCGGTGTTCTATGGCTCGTATAAATCAATGACGCGGCGCTGCAGGCGCACACGCGGTAAAGTAGTACGGAATCATTCGTCGTCCTGGGTGCTCCGCCTCGTCCTGGTGTAAGAGGCCATACATCGTCCACGGGTATAAATTACATCGGACTGCAGTTCCACCCTACCCGCTTGCACCCTGCTCGAACCCTCGATGGCTTCATCACGGCCGCCGCGGAAGCTTCTCACTTTTCGTTATCTCGAGACGACGTCGAGAGGCAAGTGCGCCAATTGGGGTGGTAATGCACACGCCGCGACCCCAGGGGCACGGATTATGCATTCGGCTCTTTGGAGCCGATGGCTGGAACCGATGGAACACTCTGCCCAGCCATTTCCTATGTTCAGGGGTCGGTCGCATGGCAACCTTTCCAAGCCGTTCGCGACCGATGTTTCCGATGTATCGCTTCCTTCCATTAGGTAGGCCGGCGTGCGGAAACTTTGCTCCCCCAGGTATGCGCCTCGCGTTCCTCGATTCGGCTCCTCCACCTCGACTTCGAGTCGTCGCGTCTCCATGCGATTAGCCGAACTTCCGTCGAGTTCGGCTGCGAATTCCCTGGAATGGATCCGCAGACCGGCGACGTTTGCTGGGGAATTTCACGGGAATAAGTCGCTCCCTCGGCGCCCGAGGGCGAAGAGGTCGTTCGGGAACTTTTCGGAAACGACCCATCCGAGGCGTTAGTCGGATCCGCCGAAATCCACCGGGAGGTTTTGTATAAAAAATGTATAAGAAATTCAGGGGGACTGGCGGCGTTGAGATTCAAGATTCCCGCTGCGGGAGCTTCTGCATCGCGGAGGAAGTTAGCCGCGACGCGGATCGCTCTTTCCCCTCTGCGAGGTGAGGCGAAGATCGACGTTCCTGCCACGTTTCTTTCGGGACTGGAATTTCCCGAACTGGCGCGGGAAATTCTCCCCCATGTGGCCGTTCCGCGTTGGAAAAATTCCGATCGTTTAATGAATGCTTGGTCGATCGAGTTCGCCGAAAAGATAGGGAGAAGTCTCTCGT